ACTTACACTTAACTGTTAAATATGCCAATGCAGGAGGACCTTCTCCCAGAATGTTCCTGCCAGTGCAAGAATACCACCCAGCGTCAGTTTTTTTCACGTAAGGTTTTGTGAACGTTGCTATATGACAACCTGAGCAGTTAGCTCCCGAAATTCTGCTTCCATTAAACTGCCACATGTGAGCTTGGGTAGATGGATAACCCTTTGTTTTACAAGTGAAAGTTGCATTTGTTCCCTCATCCACGGTGAGGTTTTTAGGGTGATCTGCCATAGACTGAACAACTGGTCGATCTACAGAAAGGAGTTCACAGATAAAGATAAGTGAAACTATCGCCTCGTCATAGTCATTAACGAGCACTACGACAATCATTTCACGCATGTAAACATGGCCACAACACGGCCTTGATGGCGGCACAGTGGTTTTTATGCTGGACAACGGATCGATAGATTGTTACATCCTTGTGTGACAATTTTCCGATTTCCCATCGCTAGACAGGTGCATGGATGACTACAGTCAGAATCGCTAAAGGTTTCCATAAATGGGTAGGCATCCTATCAGCCCTTCCCTGTTTGCCATTTTCTGCTCCCCCAGCCCCCTTCCTTTTCTTCATCGTCCCCAAAATCCATGGGCATGGCACTCCCCAGCGTCACATGTTAGCTGAGAAACAGGTGCGATCTTTTGGGGGTGAGTGGAGGAAAAGGCTTTTACAGTGAAACACTCTCCCACTGCATAATTTTCTCTTTTTGCTCTCCTTGCGCCTGTCTCTGCTCGCCTGAAAACGCACAAAAATTTCGCCCGTCCTTTAGGCCAACCAACACATTAACTATGGTTTGTAAATAGACCCCTAACCCTTCCCAATAGGTGACACCAACTTACACTCGACTTCGAGTTCTGTAGATTGTATCGCTTGACCAGCGTCGTTGAATGCAAGACAAGAAAAAGTACCACTTTCTCTCCAAGTTAATTGTTCAATGGTGAGAACTGACTGAGTCGTCCTAAGCTTATCGGACGATACACGCACTGTGGTGGAGATATTGAATGGTGGCTTATCGATAAGATTCTTTCCTTTAAATTTCCAGGTGATGTTTGGTGCCGGTTTGCCTTCAGCTCCACATTGGTACAAAATTGCTTCATTTTCCTTTCTTACATTTTTGGAATCTGGAAGTTTTCCAGAAATGGTCGGTGGAACTGTGAAAAGATTAATCAATGAAAATTGGTGCCAGAAAGGTTATTGTCGTTTAACATTCAATTATGTCCCGATCTGAAGTGTTAAAGAGGAAACTAAGTAGGAAAAAGGACAAAAGACCGAAATAAAATCCGTTTGGTACCTATTATCTAAATACCAAACTCCTCTTGAATTACTTGAGAATTGAAAGGCACACAGGTGAAAATAAACTAGCAGTCTAGATCCGCTGAGAAGAATGTTTTTCTGCATCATTTCCATTTAAGGAAACGCTCTAAAAAGAAAACAGTTGCTCTTTAACTTCACTAGGACGACAGAAACACATCCATGTAGTCACAAGTTTGATAAAAACTCCAAAACACCAGGAAGAGTTCGAACATGAATCTCCTCTGTTTTACAACAATACACCAATGTTGCACTACTGAAAAAAGGCAATGGTACTAACCTTGCACTGTAATCTTCAATTCTTTCTTAGCACCTGTTCCTATAGTATTTCTCGGCTCACATGTGTATATGGTATATTCTTCGTTGACCTGTATGTTGGGTATTGCAAATCCCCCCACATTACTGATAACAGTGTCATTTCTTTTTATCGTAATCGTTGGAGCAGGGTAACCACTTGCACTGCACGTAACCGTCACGGGTGTTCCTTGAACTACAGTGTTTTTAGGAGTTCCAGTAGTAAAAGACTGAACGGCAGGGGCATCTGATGGCAAAATTTAAAATGAGTTACACGAAGTCGTCATATATCTCGTGACTTAAAGTGTTAGTTAGCCAAAGGAAAAAGGCTTTGCAAAGATACCATTTCAATAATATAAATGGCCCACTGAGGTCTTTAGTGGAGTTTCCCACAAAATTGATTTCAAAAGACTGAGCAGTTTTTATGAACAAAGTGAAAATAATCATGGGTTTTTACTTAAGTCCGCTCTGAGATCGGTTTAGAAAACTCGCGATGCAAAGTTGTTATTACTTTGAGCTAAGTTTTATGGTAGTTAACAGAAAAGTGAATTTGCTGTCTCAGGTCGGATTGAAAGGTTTTCTTGGCATAAGTATCCATCCTTCTGTACGGCTGGATCAACTAATATAGCATGGAGCCGATGATACTCTCAGCAAATCTTTTCGACCTATTTTTTATGCCATGTAAACTCACATTCTACGTTGACAACTCTTGTTGTGTTTTTGCGTCCAAAAAAGTTTTCTGCTACGCAGGTGTAGTTTCCTGCATCGTTTACTTGTACATTCGTTAGCTTTAGGATGTTATGAATAGCTTTGGTGTGAGTTTTTCCATTAAACATCCAAGAGTATCGAGGTAATGGAACAGCATCTGCCTGGCAAGTCAGAATTAAAGTCTGATTGAATCTCACAACTGCTGGATCTGGTTTTAGAGTTATTTCCAGAGGAGCATCTACAACAAATAAAAAGAACCGTTAGAATCCTGAAATAGCAAACAAATGATAAACAAAGATCTGTTTATTCAAGTACCGCTTTTCTCCATATGATCTCAACATTATAGTAATTGAAGCTTTGCTCATTTAGTCGTCGACCGTGCAGCAACTCTCTCGGCAGATATGGTGCATGACAGCAGGGGAGCTTATCGGAATAATATCATAATAAGAGACAGAACAACATAGATATTAGCATTTCTTTGTGCTACAAATTCCCAAATGATATCGACAGAAGCACAATGATTTGTTTACTTCACTTACTTGCGCTTCAGGTAAGTCTGTTGGTAAAATGGTGGCTACGGAGGTCTTAATCTTCATTCCCCCATCTTTCATAACCATTGATCACAATTATTCAACATTTAAATAACAGGTATTAAGTTTATGGATACTTCTCAGAGAGAAAGGGACATGCAGTAAAACTTACAATGAACAGTTAAGAAAACGGATTTCTTCTTTCCATTTCCAACGTCATTATTTCCATAGCAAGAGTATCGTCCAACGCTACTTTTTTTAACTTGCTTAACCGTTAGTCTGCTTTCTCCATAACCGAAATTAACGATCGTTTAGTCCCTTGAATTGGAAATTTGGTTGTCATTCTTAAACCAGCTGTACTGGATTGCAATAGGGAATGCTTCTGTTCGGCAATAAAACATTGCATCACGCCCTAAATAAAAGGTTTCATTGCGTTCCAAACTGTTAACTTTGTGCTGAGGCTTGTCTGAAAAAATAAGTTATCAAAAACATTCATGTTAGATGAAGTATTAAGGTATGAATTCCGTTGGATTGTTCCAAAAAGGCCTTTGATTCGTTTTACTTCTGTTCGGTCATAAGATAAAGTCTACACACCACGCGGGGTCACTTCGTCTCAAAGTGATGTCCTGATGCTCACAAAAGACGTAACACCTCACTGTTTTAATAGCTGACAAAACCAAAACTTGGAAACAAGAACTGATATTAGATCCACAATATGGTCTTGAGATAGTTTTTTTCTTAAGAAAGGGCTTCATCCAACTGACAGATTGCCCATCAAGACAAAAGACGTTCTGTGACTAATGACTATCAGAACTTCACAAGCAAGGTCAAAGCTTCCCATGCCTGAACAGATCCAAAATGCATGGAGAATGCAGATGTTGGAATAATGGAACAATTTTTTTAGAAAATTAGTTTTATGTTGCAGCTAGCAAAGCAGGTTTAGCAAAACTGAATATCTTCTACTTACATCTTACTGTTACACTAACATTATAGTCAGCCCTATATGGACCCAGCGTTGAAGTAGTGACAACAGCTTCACATCGGTACATCCCTGTCTGATACCTATTGGCTGATGTTATTGTGTAGTTGGAGTTGTCGGAACCTTCCTGAACCCTTACGTTGTTTTTATACCAAGTGTAGGATGGTCTAGGGTTGCCACTGGCAACACATAGCAGCGTTCTGGTGTCTCCTTCGGTCATCAAGAGGGCTTGCGTCGTGTAAAGTGTGATCTTCGGTTTAACTTTAAAGGAAAAGAAAGAAACGTAACTAGCTGAGGTTTGTCCTTTCTTACCAATCAAAAGCAGAAAAATAAACAGAATCACATCCGTGTATACTTGATTGATATCAGCAATCATTTCCTTTCGATCTTGTTTCTTATAGACACTGGTCACAAACGAAACATGGAGAGCCAACATTTTGAGGGGAAAGAAGGAACGAACAAGGTTATTGGGGGAGCGGGGGAGGAAACATGATTGCGGCAAGTAAAAAAAGAGGAAACGGGAGGGGGGAAATCCTGCATTATTGATCATTTTGTCGCTGATTGCAGTAATTGCCATGACAACTCAAGTTGAAGACTTACCAACTACAATTAGCTTAACAGCACTCATTATCCAGGGGTTAGATACTGATGAGAAGTAAACCTTGCATTCAAATGTTCTTTCGTCGCTTTCAGCAATGTACCATATAACAAACGTGGCTTTCTCTGTTGTAGTGGTAACTCTTCCAAAATAATTAGTTGTTCTCGGGACTTGGAGTTGTTTTCCAATTTTTCTGGCAATGAGCTCGTCTGAGGAACCGCTCTTTTTGTACATCAGATCCACCCAAGTAACTGTTTCTCCGTCTGTGTTAAAGTCCCACGATAACGCAAATGAGTTGGTGCCTTTATCCACATAGACTTTGCCATTGCTGCTGGGTGTCTTGGTAAAGGCTGGCTTACAGTCTGCCGAGATAAGATAAAGATGGAGTAAATCAGCTCATATGATAATAGTTTCAATCATACTCGCCTGACGCTAATTCGAGCAAGTCTCGTAACATTTTGTAACCCAAACATAATGTAGCCCGCATATCAAGCACTTTACTTGCGATATAAGCCTGATAAGGATCTCTTTCCATGTCCTACGTGATCGCTTTTCAAATTCACTTTCTTCTCTCCTAAACCATTCCGTGCTGTCTCAGGATCGTCGGACTTGCAAAGAGGTTTTGTCCCCTACTGTTGTTTTGGTCGTTTTGGGTGTATTCGTAAGCGCTCAAAAACATTCGTAGTTCCCTCCCCCTTCTGAAGTAAGGTGTACGTAACTCATGCATAATATGTACTTAATGACTGAGGAGAGGGCCGACCTAGAAAAATTTGGCTCGAGTTTTTCCTTTATGTTTTTGCAACAAACGGCCGGATGGCTTTTACCAGACCGGCTCACGTCAACCTATCCGGCCCTACACGTCAGCTTTCACTATAGTTTCCTATGGAATTGCGCGGGGACGAACGGGTCTTATGATAACTTCCCATATGTTCATGAAAGACACTACACGATAGTGTCAAGCTATACCCTTCTCAATCGAGACGAGATTAAACGATCAAGCAACGGCTGGATCAGATGAATCAGTGGGGGAGCTCTTCATGTAAAATATCTGATCAGGTGAATGCATGTCCAGCAGAGATTTGGAGGAATGGACTTAACGCATAGAAACAAAGAGCATCTCATCGATGCATCCATAACGCCAAACTAAAGGTACATTGAAGCAATTGCTGAGCGTAGGGCAGGTTGGAAAATCTAAGCCAAATGCACCCAGATGAATGAATAATGGCTATCTTTACTTTCTGGTTGCATTTACTTGAGAGGCAAAGACAAGTACATACTTGACAAGTTTTTTATGTGTATTGAACAAGGATTAGATGACAAAGGAGCTTATTTTCTTTGATGGTGACACCCGTGAGACCTCAAGCGAGTCACACGACACTTTCATCTATCTTCCATAAATCCAGATTTTCACTCTAAACAATTGTAAACCTGTTCGTCGGCAAGAATCCGTTTACAAAGTATCTTTAAGTTGCAAAATACGAGCGTCATTATGTGATGCAACGCATTCATTATAAGATTCCGCTGCACGAGAGAGTTGGATACTTCAAATTAAAGGTCACCTACCACTTCCCTCGAATCAAGAATCATTCCCATACCACTTGCGTGTTGCAAGTATTGGAATACGTTACATCTGTATCGTTGCTTTTGAAAAATGCTACCGTCGTGAGAATCGCGTGATGTTTCGCTTTAAGACTTCCTATCACCATTTATTGAATTTAAGTTAACAAAACAATAGGCAACAAGCAATAAAACTTCGACAGAAAACGTGGAGATCGACTTTCATCATAGACAAGGAATTTGAATCTGCATGGATCCTATTCTTTGATGAAAACGAAATCCCGCAGAATCTGCTGAACTCTTCTGGGCTGATTGTCAATAAAAGAGAGAGTAATGATAGAAAAATTTTTCTTTCTCATTTATTCCCCTCACCTTGAGCGGATATAACTAGACCCCCAAGTAAGAATTGGCGTTCGTTTCATTAAGCATCAATTTACTATTTTTCGTTTCTCACCGGCTAAAATAAACATGAAAAAAAAACGCTTTCAAAAACGTTTACACAACCAGCCAGATAACTGGTTTGCTCCTTGCTGGACATCTGTTGTTACAGTAGTAACAGTGTTTAAGCCAATCAAGCAAGTTGTATGACATCACATATAAAAAAAATCAAAAAAAGTAGTGGTAGAAACGCGAACTCGAGCTTTGAAAAAAACCTGTATTCCCAGATAAGATTAGACAACCACCCTGATTTCAAGCATAGCGCGTTTACGTGTTACGTAATCAAATATCACTACACGTTTAGATTGATGAATTTTATCACTAATTGAACAAATATTGTACAAGGAATGGCGCAAATAAACGTGAAAAAAATATCGCATCAGTGGTGTCAGTTGTATGTGTTCTGATATTAACTAATGCAGGTTTTACACTCCAGAAACGATTCATCATTCACACATCAAAATTCTTCTGGAACTTACAAATCATACAGAAGTCGAGTAGTCTTTCAAAACCTGAGCTCAAAGTACCTGACTCACATTTGTAAAATCCATATGATCTGAGTTACATAGTAAGAAATGCTTTCTTACATTTTACTTAACGGCATTTATTTGAAGACAGTTGCAGAAATCGTTGTCAGAGAACTAAGAATAAAAGGCTGTTATTACAAAATGATACAATTAAACGCCAAAACCAAGATATCTATCATTTTCTACTCTAACTACTGCGGGGTTTAGATCACATAATAAATTATCATTCAATGATCATCTTCCACCCTACTAGACGCGGCTCGATTTACGAATATTTCATTTCAAAGTGTATAGGATAACTGAAATAATCACCGGCTAGACAAGACATCAACACAAGTCTACAAATTGCATCAGGAAGGAATTAAATGAACTACTCGTTGTCATTTTTTTTATCAACCCAGAGTCCTCCCATTATCAAGCAAAGTATCGCATGTGGTCAGCTTTGAATTGCTTCCAAAGCGATTTTGGAAGAAATGGTCATAAAGCAGGGTAAATAGGAAAGATCCACAGACTTATCTATTTAAGGCGTTTAAAAATGGCGCAAAAGTAATTTTAAACTGATTCCTTCAGTGGACTTTTGGACCTGATCTCCATCACTACGTGTAATTTTCATCAAAACGTACTACGAGCATAAATTGAATTAGCTATTGTCGGCACGTTTTTAAAATGCGTGTTGTGCTTTAAGTTCGGTCTCAAATCTGCGTTTTCACTTTGCATTAAACTTTTTTCCCAATTTGTCTGGTCGTTTGACGTTTGGAGGATTCTTCAAAAGATATGCAAAAATTGAGACAAATCCCACATTTCAAGTGATATCAGTAGAGACAGTGCCAAGGTGTGAGAAACATCTTACATATTAAGCGATTTCTATAAAAGAGTATTTTATAGTAATTAAATCGATACGAATGTTGGTTAGGCAAAATGATGTCGTCACCAGCGAAATTAGACGACAAGAGTGGGTTTCGCCTGTACCATACACGAGAAACGCTTGTATTCCTAAGATCTTCCTTCCCAGACGATTCAAGAAGCTAGCATAGAATTTACGTACATTGGAGCAAAGAGCAAGTGGAACTTGTCGCGGTCAAGTTTGTTGAGACAACCCAAGGGATTTATAGCAGGAAATACCTTGAATTATAGACCATTAAAGTAACAAAAGCGTCTGATAAAGGAATTTGACTGCTGTCTCTATTTAAAGAGTAGCTGTGGAAAAATGGTCCTTGCACATTTTCTAACTTATGCTTAAAACTCAGGTTTACAATATTTCAAAAACCCGAACGTATTTATAAGATAAAAGTCACGATTAATTTCTTTTTTTTAAGATGGAAAAGATAGCCTCTACATTGCTAATTGGTAGATAGATTATCAGCAACAGTTAACGCGATTAACAAGAAATAAAACAATTGTGCTATTATTTGTGTGATTTTTCTGAAAGATGTAAACAAGAAAACTAAATAAATTCCACATTTTCCTTCCACTCCTTTCTTTGTTAAAATAAGAAAAACAAACTGCTTAGAAAGTACTTTCAGAAACCAGAAGGCTGCAATATTTGCCTAAACACTCTATTAACGTCTTTGCTCAGTTTTCTGTTATCAAAATTTTGTCAGCATTAGCGATAAAAATCTAAAGAAATCTCCAGGGGAGTGAACTTCCCATAGACACAAATGAAATCCACGCGCTCATCCGTTCGCGTGATCATTGCACCTCATGATCGAGACTGAACATGGGAAGTATACTGAGTTAGGTACACGCACAACAAAAAAGGAATCGAAAATTGCCAAAATTAATATTCTCCTAAACCTCACTATTGCCATATTTTTAATTGTAACAAAGCAAAAAAAAAAAGGACAGTGGTCTTTGAAATGAGAAAAATCTGTTTAAGACTAGGTGGGCTACATGGGGAAACCAATCCTCCCCTTGCCGGCCGGCTGGTATCTACAACGTCTGAGGAAAAACGAATTGTACACCTCAGATACTACTTATTTTCTGAGAATCAGTCGTGATATGTTTGACCTATTATTCGCTGCTGATGAATAGACAAGCTTACTTTTTATTGCATACACAATCACGACTATTCCAAATTTAGTTAGGTGAAGACCTGGTTCGATCAAAGAGTTACTTTCCAATATTACTGCACTTACCTACAAAACACCACTCTAAGGAAGATAAAGACAGCACAAGCCCAAAATAGATCAGCTGCATCATTTTATGCCTTCACGACAAAAAGACTCAGAGAGGCCATCAAACATCGCCAAGACTCTTCGTGAATTTTTTTTTCCATGCAAGAAAACAATCTTTTGCAACCGTGACGACAGCGGGCGCGGATACTACAGCGAGCCAATCAGAATGCGTCATTGTCGTGACTCTTTGGTAAAGTCTCGAAATTTCGCAGCGTGGTGTGAGACCTAATTTCCGGTATCAATCATCATTTATGGAGCTTTTGTTAATTAGATCAAATAACTGTGATAGACAAGAATTTACATGCACCTAACTTGTCAAGGAGTCACTCTATTGCACTGAAACAAAAAACAGATTTATGTGGGTCCATATGATAATTGAATGGCAGTAAATTTTTAAAGTGGAAGCCAGATTTTCTGATCCAAAAACAAATTGGACAAAGAAAATAAAAAAAACAAACTACGTATGACCGGCTTAAGAAAAACCTTCGAGTGGACTTTCGTACTCAGACCTCACGCAAAACTCGACTTAAGTTCTTGGGCGAAGGAAAGGAAAAAAACAAAGAACAAATAATCCTCTTATTTGGCATTTTGTAGAGTGTCGTAGCCATGTGATTTCTCCTTATCTGTATTTCTTTCGTCATGCCTTGAAACGTTTGAAGTTTTACAGAAACCCTGACTCAACTGACTTCTAAGTAGACAGGCAGGCCCTGAGGTATAATTCGAATCGGCATACTCGATGAGACTCGACAAAACTCCTCTGTGTATTCCTTACAGGCGACGCTGCAAAACCTTAGTTAAGCCGAAGGTCAAACGGAGAGAAGGATTAACGGGAATTATTAAAATCTTCGTGACTTTATTTACTTTACAATCTGGACAAACAAAGAGCGAGGAAGTTCCTTAGCTAGTAAAGCTTCCTCGGAGACAAACCTCTTCTCTGGGAAAACAAACCTGCTATTTTTAAAACGCTGGACAAGTTCGACGCATCACGAAACGAAAGTCGAGATGAGAAATCTGTAAGGCGACGTTTTAGCCAGAAGCAGGAGAAATGAAAAGTTTCACAAATGAAATCAGTTGGCTTCTGATTTACTTTCAAAGGGTTCACCAGTTTACTGAGACCCTTGGAGATTGAGGCTCAATCCGTCCCTTTCTGCCTTCCTCGGGTAATTGGAGAACACCCACATTTTGGGCAAGGAAAATTTTTACTACTGATGAAAGTAACTAGCTGTTCTGCCAAAAATTTAACCACCAGTATACTGAGAGGCTAAGAATTTGGACCTTAATTCGTCGTCTGCCCTCGTAGAGCATACAGAGTGCCACGAAGAAGAGATGCATTTTACAAACTGATTTCACCTTTAAACATTTTGCGGAAATTTTCAACGATTTGCGTCATCTACGGGGATTTACTGCGATACTAAGCACAACATATACTTTATAATCACATTTGGGGTCCTGTAAGGCGATCCTCAGCAAGTGTCTCAACAGACAATAGTAACGTTCGAAAGTCTGAGGTCAGTCTATTAATAGAGCACGCTTTGCCTCGCGAACTAATGACTGATGCTCACATGTCATTAAAACCTCTAAACATGTGGCATTCTATTACAATTACCCGTACACTAAAAAGAGTCTTTATTTCCCGGTATAGTCTGTTATGCGAGTCAATAAGTAACTTGGTCGGCGACGTGGAATTCACAGACAAAGCCAGAGAGTTTGACCTCACACAGCTGAGTTATTTCACTTTTTCACTTCCATTATGTTATTAGTCACTCTCCTTACCGTACGCCATACGATTCTTTTTATTTTGGTTTGGAGAATTTTGCATTAGATAAACTGATTAACAATCGTCTAGTTGATATTATTCTTTATTCTCATCGCTTGTCTGCTTGACATTGTGTTAATATTGTCAGGAGAAATTCTGTCTTGGTCACTCATGATGGTCATACTCTACTGTATGCGGTTTTCGTTTCGTGAATAAGACCATACAGTCACGCAATGCGATCGCGTAACATGGCGGTCTATAATTAAGTTTCAATGCGAGGTTAATTCAAGTCAAAACACAATCTAAATTAATTCCTTTACTCCTTATCTTTGTATTCCTTATTTTTCACTTGCATCGCTGCAAGAGCTCGCGTGTTTCCGTTTTATTTTGTGAGCGATAAGTGGAACTATTACCAGGACAAAGAGGCAAGAGTCCCTACACGATACGAAATGACGAAAAGCCAATAATGTCAAACCGGTTGCTGTGAAAGTGTTTTAAAAGCTCAAAGTTACCCAGGAAAAAGTTTTTTTTTAAGTGAATTTTGGCGAGTTGTTTTGAAGATTCATCGAAATAGCAGAGTTTAGCAAGAGCTTAACTTAGTACCCAAGAAAAGGCGTTAAACAAGGCGAGAATTGTTCGTTTCGTGACGGCCATGATTGTTTTAAATGTATTTTTAAAACGGTGGAGCTTTGGGAAATTAGGTCGGCAAAGAACTAACTAAATGCTACTTCTGCGATCGACACGATGTTCAGTCAAGGCCGTAGGATGGAGCTCGAGTTGGAAAACTAGAGGCCAAAATACTAAAAAGATTGAAAAGTGTTTGAACAATATACTCCTCCTTGAATGGTTTAACTGCATACGAGCGAAAAGTTTCCTCATTGCTTTTATGTTTCCTCGTAATGAAGTAAGTCGGAAAAATACTACGCAACACGTAAAATATCTGCACCGAATAATGTGTACATACTTACAAATTTTTTCCAAAAGTAATGTAAATCCTTTCCAGCCTTAACCATCTGTGTGCCCCCTTACCCGATTTTTAGCTATCCCACTACTTCCATGTTCGACATAGTTTTCTCATGCGCTACACATAGTTGCGTGACACAAAGAAATCAAACGACGTGACACGATAAAGTTGGTAGTCTGGGGTAACCTCATGTCACACAGTCATAATGCTGCTGGCGCGCTCATGTGACATCCCTATGACAAGTCACCACGCTTTGATAGCTGATTTCACTTTTCGTTTGCAACAATCTCAGGCACCATGCTTTATATCTCGAATGCCTCGCTCTGCTTGATATTCATTGTTTTTCTTGGACTCACAAACTGCTCTCAAGCTTCGCTACGATTTCTTCGTGGCCGACCGAAAGGTGGAATGTTAGTTGCTCCTGCAGCAGAACACGTGAATCAAAAGCTTCCTGAAGCACATTGGTTTACTCAGAGGCTGGATCACTTTGATGACTCCAACACGAAAACTTGGCAGCAGAGGTTCTTTTATAACGATACCTTCCATACAAAACCAGGTGGACCGGTTTTCGTCATGATCGGTGGAGAAGGAACGGCGAACCCAATATGGCTGACTGTGGGTGATATGATGAAGAATGCGAAGAAGTTTGGTGCTTTTACTTTCCTTTTGGAGCATAGGTTTTACGGCGAGAGTCACCCAACAAGGTGAGTAAGCGAGGGAAGAAAGCGATTTACAGGATTGTGCACACTTTTGATTAACTTTAAATAAAGATACGTATGATGCACGATCCTCGCAGTAGAGAGCGCAATTTTATGCAATAGCGAAAATCAGACCTGAAGAAAATCAGGCCTGCACGGGATTCGAACCACTGACCTCTGCGATACTAGTGCAGCACTCTACCAATTGAGCTAACAAGCCAACTGGGAGCAGGCCGTTAAGTTGATTCGTAATAAACCCGTGATGATAAATCAGATACGATGAATATATGAAGTTCATATATTTTGAACTGCATATATTTATTGCATAAATAGCGCTCTCTACTGCGAGGATCGTGCATCATACGTATCTATAACCGCAGTTCAAAATATACGAACTTCATATATTCATCGTATTTAAATAAAGAGTGGAGTAGTTATTTACCAAGGACTTAACCCCATTGCACCCTAATATCAATATGCATATTCTCCATACTGTTCTCTACACATTTCCAAGGGCAGGACAAAGAGAACTAGTTGAACAATAAAATGCTTTTTAGTTGATGATCATTTCCTTTATTCTCCTGACCTTAATGTGTGTTTCAGGGGTGATATTTTAAGGAGAAATTAGATAGAAGTCACTTCAAGGGGTCTAAGGGTTAATTGGAACAAAATAACAGTCATGAAAAACACAAGAAAAGCAAAGAAATTATCCTGGTAGGCAGACTGCAATTGTAGCAGTTGCTAAAAAGAAGCCTGAAAAAAATTTAGATGTTGATGGGATTAAATTAAACTCATACTGCTAACTTTTCATTACTGACTAGCTAAGTGGCTAGTGACATCTTTGATGTTACAACAATTTCAGTTTGTTTACTTGCCAAAACCATTAGCCAAAACTGAATTTCTACTAGTCTGTGGCTAGTGGGCTACTGTTAGTGTCGATCCCGAAATAAAAAGGAAGCTGAGACTTTTCTGATCCTGAAACATCAAGAGCAGGGTTTTTTAAAGAAAATTTAGCAATCAATGTTTAACAAAACTGCATCCTAAACAATCCTTAATTTAGCTGGACCTTTTATCTGAACACTTATTTTGGTGAACAGTGTCAAGGAGGCCAAAAGCTTATAGTGGAAGGATAAATATTGAATTGAATCAACCCTGTTATATAGAAAGCCTGAGGCCCACTGATTGTGGTAAACCATGGTTTGGGTAAGACCTTGTGTAAGTAATCTGCGTTAAGAGACCAGAAGCTATGAGTACTGCTGCCACCTCCCTGGATAAGATGCTAGTCACATCACAGGTTAACCACCCACCCCTCCCCCACCTAGTATTTTATCTAGTGTAGGGAACAGTTACCTGATACCCATTTGTACCTCTCAGTGGAAAGAGACACTGCGAGTAAAATCTTTCACCCAATTAAACACAATGCAATAACTTGAAAAGAAAGCCCATCTGGACATTTCTATCTATATGTATGTAAATCAAACACTGACTTTTAGAAACCATGTTTCCTGACATCACAACATAAGTTACAGCTTACAATTACAAGCTTGTGTGGGGAAATTGGGCAAGCCTGAATTCCTCATTTGGTTTTATTAAAAGCAGGCCTTCAGCATGTAGCTTGTGGGCCATGGTTTCTAAGAGTGCCCTTACTGCCTGAAAACTAAGGGTATGCCCTCCCTTTTTTTGGCTTTGGTTAATTTTGCCCTGACCAGAAAAATTACCTAACGACCCACTAATGTAAATTTTTCTTCTACTTTTTCTAGCGATATGAGTGATTCAAGCCTTAAGTATCTAAATAGTGAACAAGCATTAGCTGATTTGGCTACATTTTGTCAATCAATGGCTGTAAAGTTTAACCTGACAAACAGCAAGTGGATATCATTTGGTGGCTCATACCCTGGGTCATTATCAGCTTGGTATAGACTTAAGTATCCACATCTGGTGCAGGGTGGGTAGACTGTGTCTCTATTGTGACTGATAAATTTATATCAAGTTGAACCTCTCCACAATGGCCACCTTGAGGAGAGAAAGAAATGGTTGGTGTGGAGAGGTGGCTATTGTAAGAGGCGTTCAAATGAATGTATGGACAGCCCAACAAGACCTAAAAAAAGTGGCCATCGTGGAGAGGCGGTCATTGTATATAAAGGTGGCCATTAATGGAGGTTTAACTGTAGTAATGCCATTTGCTAATTAAAACTAATCACATGGAAAAGTTTACATTGCACTAAACATTGGCAAACTAGAAGAAGCTTGTGATAACAATGGATCAAGTTACTGGTAATTCATGTTTTCACAAGTCTCTGAACGTTTACAAAGCTTATCAAAAAGAAAACTATAACAAAATTCCTGACAATGGTTGGTTTCTAAAGGTTTGTTAGAAAAAAAGTTGTTAATAGTTTTTATAAAAATAATTGTCACAAATATGCATATAAGTCTGAAACATCGCTGTCATTTTTACTTATCCTCATCTAAACTTACCCATTGAATAAAGGCTGATAGTTTCTAAAGAAACTGTTTGGGGCTGCATCGGGGTAACAAAATAATTTGGATGTATCAACAAAGTTGAAATGGTAAATTGGCCTGACGAAATTCGCTCCGGCGAAGGGCTATCGCTGGAAACGTCAGCTTTTGTAATCATTACAGTGGCCAATTTACCATTTCAACTTTGTTGATATATCCAAATTATAAACTTACCCATTGACCAATAGGAACAGGCATAGTCCCTCGGTTAGTTATTTAAACAAGTTAAATGTTCTCCTCGTATTCTATTCAGTTGATGAATTTTAACAAGTAGTTTTATTAGTATCTTTGTTATTTCTATTCCATTTTCTTTTTAGGAGCTGTAGCCTCAAGTGCTCCTGTCTTTGCAACAGTTAATTTTCCACAATATATGGATGTTGTTACTGCCTCACTTGCAACAACTGGACCAGACTGTGTGAGAAATATTGATAATGCTACAAAAACAATGCAGGCTTTACTGACCACCGAGGAAGGTGCAAAACAACTCACAGAGCTATTTGAGTGAGTAAATTCCAGACATTTGATCATGTGTCACATATGCAGGGCTCAACACTAACAGTAGCCAACTAGCCACAAACTAGCAGAAATTCAGTTTTGTCTACTATGCTTTTCAATTTCCACTGGCCAGTTTGGCTAGTAAACAAACTGAAATTGTTGTAACATCTAAGTTGTTACGAGCCACTTGGCTAGTAAGTTGAACATGCTTAATCATCTTCCAGGCAATTTCACATTACCAAAACACTGCTGGATCACACCTTAACATTGTGCAAATTAAGGAAATGGTCCACAACCAAAGAAGCTTTAATTGCTAAACAAATACTCTTAGTCAAAACCAAAGAAATGTATAGAGAACAGTATGGGGAATATGTATTCTGATGTCAGGGTGTATAGGTTTAAGTGTGCAGAGGTGTTCTAATGCTCAAAGTGGAGGGAATAAGAAATGTTTTCTGATAGTTCTCTCAAACTCTTGTTGTTCGAACTACGAAAAATCAAGTGGAAGTGACTGTAAGACATTCCAAACTGCCATGTCAAACATTTACACTGAAACAAAGAAATCTCTTACATATATGTTTGTACTACAGGTAACTTTTGATTAAAACTTATCAAAAGCTTCTCAGTCCTTTGTTTTGAGTTATTTTTGACACAGTCAACAACACTCGTTGTCTTGTATATTTTGCTATAACTTTGAATTCTCTGTTTTGTTTATCCCCTCCCAATGAGCGACAGTACAGTGATCATACGACGTATTTCTTTATCAATCAAGAAACTCCTGATGACCCCATAAACTGTATTTAACCATCCTAATTGATTATTCTTTTATTCATAGGCTCTGTGGACCACTTGACAAAGACAGTGTCAATGATGTGGCAACTTTTGCAAATGACTTGTCGGGAAATTTTGCTGGTGTTGTTCAATACAACAAGGATAACAGAGCATTTGAGGTTAGCAAAACTGATTAATAGAAATATTAATTCTCTGTACTCCCCTTCGTACACATCGTTTTTGTTTATTCTGAGAATTTAGTGTTAGTAAATCAAGTTACATCTCTCCTTTGATACTTTCCTCTGTTGTCATGACCCATTTGGGTAACCCTTCACACCCTAACATCAGTATGCATATTCTCCATACTGTTCTCTAAACATTTCCTGAGGTGCTGACAAGGAGAATTGGTTTAACAATCAAGAGCTTCGTTAGTTGGTGATCATTGCCTGTATTCTCATGACCTTGATGTGTGATTCAGGGGTGATATTGTAAGGAGAAATTAGATGCTAGTCACTCCCAGGTATCAAAGGGTTAATGCCCCAATCAATTCAAAGCTTTAACATCCTCCCTTCCGGGCAACCCAAGGGGATTTTGACCGTTGTCCGTACAGGGGGACGGGGAATTTGAACCAGCCTTAGTTGAACCGGAAGTGTCAAGTCTTTCCAGCGGAATACACGTGTTGTACCATAGTTAATATGGTTGTACATGTAATTCAGGAGTTTAAAGATAAAGAGTCTGCTTTCGTGAGCGAATGGCCTAGAAAAACAATCGTCACATCATCGAATAGTGTTTCCAAGCGAGAAACCCAACAACAGCGCCAAAAACTAATACGTGACTTTCCAAAATTCAACAACATTGGTTGATCGCACAAAGAATCATTCAATATTGAGTGTGCATATGAACGTAATTTTGGCTTGGGAGGTGGGGAAGGGAGGGGCACGGGATGTTGAAGATTACAACGCACCATAGATCGGTGTAAGTTAACAGATGTAAAACTTTAACCCGCATGAGTGAGGAATGTAATAATTTTACCATGATGCTTTTTTTTTTTAAAGGGTGCCACCGGTACTAACATTACAATAAGCACATTGTGTGGCATCATGAACGATGAAGACATTGGAGCTCCATTGGAACGTTATGCTAAAGTGAACTCCTTAATGCTTCATACTTACGGTGAACAGTGCCTTGATTCAAGCTACAAGAACTTAATAGCAGCTTTACAGAACACATCATGGAGCAGCAGTGCATCTGAAGGAGGTAAATTTATCATAATATTGCATAATATTCTCCTTGCTGTACAGATTTATTCAGCGCTTTAAGTTACACCTTTTTTGCTCGCCATGGCGAGGGGGGGAAAAATGGCGACTAAAAATTTGCAGCGAAAGTCGCCCCATTGCCGAACTGTATTCGGCGGTCGTATTTGAAGCTGTAACGTTCTCATTGCTTAATGTTTATATGCTTAAGGTAAGTGAGATAAGCGTTTGCATGATATCTTCGATGTCTTTAATTTTTTTCCTGCAAGGAAAGTTAGGGAAGATGTCATTTTGGTGGGAAAAACTGTGGTAGCCGCGTTGATGGTCGCCATTTAAACGACTTACAATCTGATTTTCTTGGCTACATGCATGTCCTACGAGTTTTTGGTTATAACGAGCAATATTTATGTTTCTGGCGACTGCGTTTTAACATGGAGAGCGAAGTGGGGACCTTCAAACACATCCGACAACAGCACACGACATTTTGTATGTTTACGCACTTTCCCTTTCAGAGAAGAATGTTTACAACAGTTATGTTCCGGTGGTAAGAGCTTTTTTTGTTTTTAACCAGGTCGCCAATGGATGTATCAGACATGCACAGAGTTTGGGTTTTATCAGACTTCAGACTCTAAGAAGCAACCGTTTGGAGATCTATTCCCTTTGAAGTATGTACATGATGGCAATACAGCATTTACCAAAAAAAAAAACAAACAAACAAACAAAGATAAATATCATATCAAGACAGAATCGTTGTGTGCTTGAAGAAATTCCACACAACGCTCCTGAATGTCCTGGCGTCTGAATAATGAGTGCTAGTTAATAATGTAGTGAATTAATTTTCAATTGCGTGTCGAAAGTTATTCCACATTGTAGTGGTTTCGCTCTCTGATTTGTCCGAGAAACTCGCACCACTCTACCAACCAAACAGATGCAAAACTTAAACCAATCACGACTTAGTTGCTCGCGCATTCCCGCTTTAAGAAGTTTGCTTGCTTTTACTTGTGTTCTCGCTGGCTTTTAAAGGGTTTTTTCTATTCATACGATTGCTCTTTGCGATAGCGTTGGCTTTGGTGTATACAATGGAAAAGCACTCTATAAAGTCTGTCTCTAAGAAATACCTTTTTCGATCAGAACTATTCATGTATTAAAGACGCCGAACGCTGTTGTCCAGCAAAACATAACTTTAACTGTTCTGTTGTTTTTCTATTGGACGTATATCATTTCAGAACTGACATAATATCGCCCACTCATCTTTAAAAACTGTCTTAATTATGACTTGTGTTCGTAATTTTTTTTTACCAAGGTATTCAATTCAACAATGCATGGATATTTATGGTGCCCAGTTTAACGAAGAGAACATCCAAAGCGGTGTCACTCAGACAAATACTAACTACGGAGGATATGGTATTGCGTCTAGTAAGGTCAGTTGATATTCAACTCAGAACAGTTGGAATCTCGCGCGTACATACATTTTATTTACAGGGCGTGAGGTCCTTATGGGGAAAAATTGACCTGAGGTTGAAAAGGGGGGGGGGGGGGGAGAAAGAACCGCCTTCCTAGTTAGCTCAATGAATAGAGCGCTGGACTGTTGTGCGGGAGGTCGAGGGTTCGAGCCCCGGCCGGACCAACACTCAGGGTCTTAAAATAATTCCCACGTGCTCACAAAGCACCTGAGACCAAAGAAAGTAGAGTGAGCGTGATTTTCAGCGCTCTCATCCTAATCCATTTTCCTTAGCAGTTATATTACCCGAGGATGTTTACAACTACCTTTGCAACAGGTTTTATTAGCCGTATTCGCAACAGCGGCCCGTGGGCCGTATCGTAAAAAGCTAGACCGGTCACGAGCGCGCGGTTAGCCAATCAGATTAGCTCAGATGCTTGAATAATTTTCCTATGCGTCACGCGTACCACAAAGAAACTAAGACTCGTTTTACTGCATTCTAAAAGTGGGCCATGGTAAATGTTATCGAAGAAAAATCTTAAATTCCATGTCCAAAGCAGTCCGGGATTGTGACAATTATGCCCTGGAGGATGTGGTGGCCTGACGGTTGCCGCCTTGGATTCCTTGTCGAGGAATCCGCGTTTGGGACCCCATCGAGCCATTTTTGATGTTTTTTCCCAACAATTGTTCAACTAGAGGCTACTCGAAAACGTAACAGTTATTTAGCCTCCAGACTCTTCATTTGAACAATTTCTCACTATGTTATAAGTAGAAATAGTATTTTTCTGTACTGTAAATCTGTTATGTGCAAGAGGGAATGATTCAATGTAAAGTCTACAGTAAATATTTTCAGATTGTTTTCCCGAATGGCTCCATCGATCCATGGCATGCACTTGGTATTATAAAAGATGTGTCTGCTACAGAACAGGCCGTTTTTATTGAAGGTAAGTGAGAGAAGGTGCAATATACATTTGCCAATTTTATTTTGTGATGATTCTTCATGGTTTTTCGAAAACGGATCTTCAAGATTTCCCTTCATTGTGGTGGAGATCGCGTTTACATCAGTTTTTGTTTAGCTGGCTGGATAGCTGAGTGTTCCAGTTTGAGAGCACCAAAAAAAAACAGCCAGCTACACAGGCTTTTCTTTTTTTCTATCCAAAGGATACGCTATTAAAAACTGAAAGAGGAGAAAAATAAATTCGTGATATTTTATACTTGGAAGTTTGGGAATTAAAAGCCGGAGGATGTCGTTACAAAATACTTTATACCTTTGGCGGCGACGGATTCCCCTGCTTCCTCCCTACCCCCGTCCCCAAGGCGATCGATAATGAGTGTTCCCTTATGTTAATGTCACTAAATTATTGTCATCATTTCTTTGTTTTTCAAGGTACAGCTCACTGCGCCAACATGTACCCAGCTATTCCGTCAGACCCCCCTCAGCTGGTGCAAGCCAGAGAACAAATTCAGCGACACATCATGATGTGGCTGCAAGCGGATTCCTGAATGAATCCATTCGCCACCTCAACAAAATTCAAGTCGTTAAGACTTTAAAACTGATTAATAGGTAGAAGGAAATCTTTAAAATGTTAGATAACAAGTCGAAGGAGCCATCATAGAGGTATAATTCGGGAAAGGGTGGTAGTAAGTGGAGGAATGAACTTGGAATGTAAATGATAACCTTGAAAATCATTTGATTTTACGGACATTTTTAAAGGCAAATGAATAATGAAATTCTCTTTTGGAATGCTTTATCTTGTTGGAGAGAAACGCTACTGCTGCTCTGTTTTCCCCAACAATCATTTGTGATCCGATGTAGTAGCTCTTCCATCTGAACAACTATAAAAAATTGTGTTTGGATTCACTTGCTATTTTACAAGTACTTAGTGTTTTCAGGGACGAGGCAATGAAGATTATTTTTTAATTTGAAGTTGCTAGCCGAGTAAGAATAAGTTGTTTTACTCCATCTTCGAGAAAAATACTGTTTGTATCAGTTTTAACATAGATATTGTCTGACACTTAAAACCCCTCCTGGCTCTGAATTTCCTAACATTGAAGTTTTTATTTTTATGTTTTTGATAAATTGTGACTAGTAAGGTAGTTTTTCGTCAGGAATAGACTTTAGGTTGCAGGCGATTCAATACCTTTTTCCATCAGCGGCTGCCGATGGTTTAATTGGCGGTCGGGTCGAAAGGCGTAATTCAAACACGAGACCCTGTTCTCAGGCTCTGGTTTTTCTTCCCGTACCCCTTCTCCCTCGCTTTGTCACTCGTCCCAGATCTTCCACCCGTCCAATATGGCGGCCGAATCTTGGCCGCGGTGAATCCACAAACTACCGCCTGCAAATAGACTCAGGCTGAACAGACGGTGCTGAGAGATTTTACTGGCAGCAGTGGGTCAGCGGTAACCAGCTTCTGTTGAAACCTCTGGTGGTGGTAGAGGAAAGAGTTACACAAGATTAGTTTTGAAAGGTAAGCTTACACTTGCCATCTACAATTTTTCAACAGGAAGACCTAAAGTGGATAGGATAGGATAGGATAGAATAGGATAGAATAGGATAGGATAGGATAGGATAGGATAGGATAACTATTTATACACGGTTTTTCCATCAGTTCATTTTATTCTATACTAGAAACCTTTCTATCTAATCTACAAACCTATCTATCTAATCGTATTCCTATCTAACTACAATAATAATTTGATGATAACAATTCAAATAAAAGAAAGAAATAAAAAATTCTGCTTTTCATGGAGGCCGTGTCTAGAATTTACTTAAAATTAAGATCTTTCTTTAAACTGTGGCAATTTAATTTAGATTTGAAATCGGCATCTCACTCCATTTAATGTTTTAATTAAAGTTTATAATAGCCTTATTCAACCACATTTTGATTATTGCAACGTCGTGTGGGGAAACTGTAACAAAGGCTGCAAAATCGGGCTGCTCGACACCTAATGTCAGCGAGCTATGATAGTAATTTGGATGATTTGTTCCGGGGGGTAGGGTGTCGAAGACTCTACTATCAAAGATTGGAACAGAACATGTCATCCCAAGGTTGGGCTAAGATATCCGCATAAAAATTTGCGCTATTAAAATGTTTAAAATGTCTATATGTGCCAGTCGAAAAGCAATTTATAGTGTGTGAATTTCTTAATTAAATTTTGACACGCACTCGATACACATGGTATCAATGTTACTATAAATGTATCTCGCAATTAGAAAGTGCACTATGATTGGTCTAGATTACGAGCAGTCCCTCCTTTTCGGCGAGGTCGGTCGCTCGAGTAAAAAAAAAAATTGGTGAACAATAATTGATTTAGCGTGCCGCGGGAACCTCTTGAAGTGACGCTCGCTTATCAAGTATACTAGTTTATCATTAGAATGACCAAGAAATCAACTCTCAACGCTTCGTGCCCCTTAGGGAAATTCTCCTTTTGCGACCTTCCCTTAGACGGAAACGTTCGCTTGTCGCAGATGTGGCTCTAACAGATTCGTAAGGCGATCTCACGAACCAACGGTATATCAGCAAGATTAAATCGCACAGCAATTATACCGTTAATTCAACTGGATATGTAGTCAAATCGATTCCTCGACTCCCTTTGTCAGAGGAAAAAGGAAGGGAGTTTGACTTCGATTTTGCGCACACAATACCTGCTGTGCTGACATGGAGATTGGTGGGATTAGAAACTTGACTCCTTAACCTTTTAATTCCCACAAGTGACCAAGACAGAGTTTCTCCTTACAATATCAACTCATTATCTAGCAGACAAGTGATGAGAATAAAGTAAAATATTTATCAGGGGATTATTAGTTGATCTAATACCAAAATAATAAGAATCCTAGGGCAGACAGTGAGAAGAATTACTAATGACATCTTGGGAGTAAAATGGTTAAATAACTGAGCTGAGTAAGGTCAGACTCGCTGGCTTTTGACTGTAAATACCACGTCGCCAACCAACCTCGAAAAAAGACTGCCACATGTTTAAAGCTTTTAATGACATTTAAGCATCAGTCATTAGTCGCGAGGCAAAGCGTGCTTCATTAATAGACTGGTCTTAGACTTTCGAACGTTGTTATTGTCTGTTTAGACTCTGACTGAGGGTCGCCTTACAGGACTCCAGATGTGATTATAAAGTATATGTTGTGCCTAGTATTGCAGTAAATGGCCGTAGATGTCGAAAATCGTTAAAAAATTTCCGCCAAATGTCAAGGTGAAATTTTGTAAGATACGCCTCTTCTTCTTTGCACTCTGTATGTTCCAGAAGATGGAGGACGAATTTAGCTCAAAACTCCAAGTAAACTGGTGGTTAAATTTTCAAAAGTAAAGCCAGTTATTTTTTATTTGCTAAAACTCTTGTTGTCCAAAATTTGGGTGTTCTCCAAATACCCGAGGAAGGTATACAGGAAAGGATTGAGCTCCAACCCCTGAGGTTGTCAGTACACAGGTGGACTATTTGGCAGTTTACTAATGCGAAATTAATGTAGGTTGTGAAAACTTTCATTGCTCCTGCCTCAGAATAAAACGTCGCCTTACAGACTTTTCATCTCGACCGGCGACTCTCGTTTCGTGAAGCGCCGAACTTGTCCAGCGTTTTAAAAATATCACCTTTGCTATCCCTGAAAAGAGGTTTGTCTCCAAGGACACTTTACTTGCTAAGGAAAGTCCTCGCTCTTCGTTTCTCCTGATAGTAAAGTAAATAAAATCAAGAAGATTTCAATAATTTCCGTTAATCCTTCTCTCCGATTGACCTTCGGCTTAACTAAGGTTTTGCAGCGTCACCTGTACGGAAAACACAGAAGAGTTTACATAGTCCTGTCAAGTATGCCGATTCGAATTATACCTTAGGACCATAGGAACTACCCGGCCTGCTTAGAAGTCAGTTGAGTGAGGGTTTCTGTACAAAGGCAAAGGTTTCAGGGCAGGACGAAGGAAATACAGATGAAGGAAATACAGATGAGGAAAATTCATATGGCGTCGTCACTCTCCAAAATGTCAAATAGGAGGATAATCTGTTGATTTCTTTTCATTTCCTTCCCTCAAAAACTTAAGTCGAGTTCTGTGTGAGGTCGGAGTGCAAAAGTCCACTACAAAGCTATTCTTAGGCAAGTCATTCATAGCTTGTTTTTCATGTTAACCTTGTCGAATTTGTTTTTCGTTTAGAAAATCTGGCTCACATGTTAAAATTTTCAACGAGACTGAACCCTTCAAATCTGTCTCTTCTTTTTCAATGCAAAAGAGTCACTCCTTGGCAAGCCAGGTGCGTGTAAATTCTTGTCTATCACAGATATTTGATCTTATTAGCAAGAGCTCCGGAAATTGATACCGGAAATTAGGTTCCACGCAAAAGAGTCACGATATAGACGCATTCTAATTGGCTCGTTTTAGTTTCCGCGCCCGCTGTCGTCACAGTTGCATAAGATTCTTTACTTGCTCCGAAAAAAACATTCACAAAAGAGTCTTGGCAGTGTTTAATGGCCTCTCTGATTCTTCTTGTCGGGAAGGCATAAAATGATCCAGCTAATATATTTTGGGCTGGTGCTGTTTTTATTTTTTTCCTCAGAGTGGCGTTTTGTAGGTGAGTGAAAGTGCAATAGTGTTGGAAAGTAAGACTTCGATCGAACCAGCTCTTCGAGCTCATCTGACTAAATTGAGATCAGTTGTGACTGTCTACGCAATAAAAAGTTAGCTTTTCTATCGATCAGCAGCGAATAATAAGTCAAACATATCGGCACGACTGATCCTAAGAAATTAAACGGTATCTGGGGTTTACAATTCCTGTTTCCTCAGACGTTGAGGATACAAGCTGGCCGGCGAGGGAAGGAGTGGTTTCCTCATTAGCTCATCCAGTCTTTTTTTGCTTTGCTACAACTAAAAACATAGTGATACCGCGGTTGAGGAGAATATTAGTTGCGATTCCTTTTTTTTAATTACCATGTTCAGTCTCGATCACGTGAACAGATAAAAAAGTGGATTTCACCCGTGTCTGTGGGAAGTTAACATCCCTGGAAATTGCTGTAGTTTTTTACAGCTAATTCTAACAGAATCTGGGAAAAAATCTAGGCAAAGACGTAAATAGATTATCTTGGGAAACTGAAATTCCAGCATTCTGGTCTCTGAAACTACACTGATTCGAAGCAGCGTGGTTTCCTCATTTAAAAAAGAAGGGACAGGACGAAAATGCAGAATTTATTTAGTTTTCTTGTTCATATCTTTCATAAAAATCAAACAAATGATAGCACAGTTGAATTGCTTCCTTGTGAATCACGTTAAATGTTGCTGATAACCTCTCTACCAATTAGCAGTCTAGAAGCTTTTTGTTTTCCATCTGTTCAAAAAACATTTTTTTAGCGTGACTTTGATTAGAAGAATTTGTCGGTGTTTTTGAAATATCGTAAAACTGGGGAAAAAGGAAAAAGTATGCAAAGATCCGAGTTTTCCACAGCAACTATTTAAATAGAAACTGCAGTCGGTCAAAGTGCCTTATCGAACGCTTTATTTTTGATATTTCCTGTTATAAAGCCTTTTGGTCGATTGGGTAAGTAAGGCAAGGGTCGCACTTACGCTTTTGGTGTTTACATTGGACATAAAATCTGTCATCGCGTGCTTGCGACACGTGCGACCCTTTTGTCGCAACCGAAGGACCCAAAGATCAAAAAAGCCGATGTCCTGCCTCGAGGCAGGCCATATCTCGTCTTATCGCATTAAAATAACAATTTTTGTTTTTCTTCTGTCGCAACGTCGATCAAATCTGAAATACTAGCGAAAATATTTGGATTTTCGCAATTCTGCAAAGACAACACGTGTGCACAGCTAGCTATCGGTTCAATATTTTATTCACAGGTTTTCTCGACACACGTTTTATCTGGTCCCTATGGCGAATTTCAACCCATGCCAATTTACAAATTAGTAGTAGTAGTAGTAGTCTTTATTTCCTCACAAGGTAAAAAATACATATCTTAAGTTACAATATTTGAGTAAAAAGTATATATATCTAAATTATAAACTTACATAGCTAAATTGTATTTAAAAATTAAGCGATTAATGAAAGAGTTCTTGAATCTATCTGTATTAACTTTCGGATACTGACTTATTCGATTCCTTAAATTGTAAGTCGATACTTTCTTCTCGGGTAATAGTCCCCTTAGAGGGTGTCGGTCTATGCCAGATACCTTACGAAATACTTTTCTATCCTGCTTTTCCAGAAGGTGTTTGATAGAAAATGATTTAGATGTATATTTACGTTTGTA